CTATATTGCGACACTACCGTATACACATAGCGTGTCTAAGACTTTCGCCATGACCGACAGCTTCCCGCGCGATTATCCACGAGCATAGTACAAGCATATATAATATACATATACATATATACACACAATGAACGTCGAACCGAAGTAAGAAAGAGATGAGAAATAAGAGATGAGCTACTAAAAAATTTCTTACAATTTACAAGCGAAAAATTAGGTCGTTGCGTATACCTCGCCTCAAGCTTTCCAAAGGTCCAGGTACATAAAACGATACTGGAAAAGTTGCTCGGTTACGTAAACGTCGGGAGCCCTATAAACCGTCTCTGTTCCGTATCCAAAATATGCAGGGACGTCCCATACGGTCACAAGGCCAATTAACAGTGCCATTAGTAATTCGTTCGTTCCCCATAGAAACGTCCTCGTGCTCTTATCACTGGCGCTACGCTTTATCAAGGCTCGAAGATGTTCGTCCGCATCTCCATAAAGCGACGGCCGCACCCAGAGACACACTCGTAAAGTCATGCGAGCCCGCTCGTAAACGTTTGATAGTCCTCGCGAGAAAGCGTAACGCATCGGGACGACTGCGTTAACGTGAGCTAACGTACCGCGTTAACGTGACTTTCGTCCCCGAATCACCGCGTACGCGAAAGCTACTAAAGACAGTGACAACGAAAGAAAATAAATTACGTCAAATTAACGCAGCCGCACAGCTTTTGGATTTCGACATGACGGAGACAAAGGATCAAGCTTTTCAATCTTTCAACGAGGATCCCTATAATATATCGACATATATATACATATACAAAGCGTAAGTATTTATCACGTATGAAAAATCCGTCTACGTTATCAGCCACGCGCGTCCTCGCCGAGTCATAAATAAAGAGAGCCAGACGCCGAGACGTGTTACCCACGATCCCTTCTATCGATACTGTCCTATATATACCCAAGTTACACGTGTATACATACAGGGCTAAAGTTAAGGGTTACCAGTCGACAGTTTCTCGCACAATGATCCCTTCGACGTGGAGAGGTCGTTGAAGGAAGTGATTCACGATGGTTCGCGTGTTAGAGGAACGGGGACTCTGGTATATGGATTCCCGGAAGGAGTTAGGGGGGGGAGACGGAAAGAGCGGGGGAGGAGGGGGGGGATAACGCCGTAAAGGAGGCACACGGAAGGTAGCGTCGTCGGTGACTGTCGCCTCACGAAAGCCAGTAAATAAACTTCGATGCGAATCGAGTTACTTAATAACCCTGTCGGGCGTGGAGAATCAGACAGGGGTCGTTGACAAGAAAGGTGCTGGGGGGAGAGGGGGGGGGGG